CCTTTAAAAGTAAAATTGTTCTCAATGCGGCCCTCCCAAAATGTTTCAAATTTTCCTAAAATCTCCCAAAAAGTTTGCCCACCCGGACCTACCTAAACCATTACAAATCAAGCAGTACAATTACCAAGGCGGGAGGATAAATGTAAAATTAGTTTATAATTTCAATTTATTTTACCTTATAAAGATTTTAAGTAAATAAAATTTTTTAAAAATGTTGTGTAACAATGTACAATAATATAACTCGTCTTTTAATTTCGCAATCATTAACATTTTATTTCTTTTTCTTAATAATTAAATTTTTATTTCTTGTCAAATAATCAGTGAAAATAATTTACAAGACATTTGACGATGCACTCGTTTGAACTCCTGGCTGGTGTCTTTCTCGAAATGGACATTTCTTCACTGAAACAAACAGGCAGCTTTTGATTCTTCGGCTGTTTGCCAAAGTGAATTTGTGAACATTTATTTCTTCTCCTAAAGAAATGACGAAATAATAACTAATGAAATAACAGTAGCATGACGATTTTTTCAAACCAGACATCGCTGTGAAATAAGTTTGGTGTAATTTTAATTAAAAAACTTTGAATTCAAAGTTTTAAATAAATTCGGTATTTCAAAAAGTCAATTGGAAAATTGTAAAAAAAACTGTTAGTTTTTAAAACGATTTGAATGATTTGGTTGATATATAAGCAAGGGCGTTTACAGAAATGGGGTAAGTAAGAGGCATTTATATAGGAGTTATTTTCGTCAACAATATATGTACAAGTACACATGCGGTCCTTCAAAAGTAAAATAGTTCTTAATGCGGCCCTCACAGCAAAAGTTTGCCCGCCCCTGAATTAATCAGTTCGATTTATAAACCTTTTAAGATTGTAAACTATTTCTAAATAAGGTTCTCTTTTATTTCTTTTTATATGGAGTTAGATCGCACTAAGGCAAAAATATGAATGAATGAATGAATGAATGAATGAATGAATGAATGAATGAATGAATGAATGAATGAATGAATGAATGAATGAATGAATGAATGAATGAATGAATGAATGAATGAATGAATGAATGAATGAATGAATGAATGAATGAATGAATGAATGAATGAATGAATGAATGAATGAATGAATGAATGAATGAATGAATGAATGAATGAATGAATGAATGAATGAATGAATGAATGAATGAATGAATGAATGAATGAATATGCTATTGTTAAGAAATGAGTGAAATGAATAAGAACAACACAAACAACATTAACATATTAACAAAAAAAATGAAGAAAAGAAGAAAGAAAGCTTCGTTGAATCAGGAGACTGCTTAAATTAACCTTGAAGAGCAAATACTCTCATTGTCATTTTTATGCATCAACACAATAACTCATTGAGTCGGTGTGAATGAGTTGCAAATATTTAAATCGGCGTTGCAGGGTCTGATGTTTCTCGTTATTTTATTATTTCTTTCTCCAAGTTAATTTGCTATAATGAATATTTTTAAAAATTTGGCTCAGTTTTGTAGGCATTTGAAACGCATAATGAACCCGAATATTTTGTCCCAGATTATTGCACCAGGCAGAATGTTAATTAAATTTTCAATGATAGAATATAACTACATTTCATTTTTTTTATTAAGTTTATTAACGGGAAAAAGATTGTAAATAGCAAAAACTGACCTACAAACTGTTGCAGACTAACAAGTAGTAACATGGCAAAACATAACATAATGATAAGGTAAGTGAGCTTAGACCAAAGGTCATAGGTCATTATATCAAGCATCAACGAAATGTAAAATTTTCAAAATAAAGTAAATAGGTAAAGTAATAGAGAGTATTCATAATAACATAAATGGGATTTATACAGAATAAAATATACAAAGTGAATTATGCAAATTAAATTATACAAGGTGAATTATACAAAGTAATTTATACAAAGTAAAATAAACGTCACTCCATCAAATTATTTCAAGTAATTTCAAAATGAAATACATTCAAAATGAAGTAGCAAAATATAACACATCCAAAGTGAATAAATATAAGTTATCCTAAGTAAAATTAACACCACCCAATCAACAATCACATTCAGGTTAAATAACACATTCCTTAACTTTCGTAAAATTCATAAATCTTTTTTTGATAAATTTTGACCAGGTTGACAATTCAATTTCTCCTCTTCCTTTTCAAAATAAAGTAAATATGTATAGAGAGTATTCATATTAACATAAATGTGAATTATACCGATTAAATTATACAAAGTGAATTATACAATTTTAAGGATTGGTAAGGTTATTTTTTTTTCGCCCATTTTTTCCTCAAAATCTCCGTCAAATTCCTCGTATTTCTGTCCTTGTTCCTCCTGTTACTGAACCATTTTAAGACTTGATTGTGAGAGATCCCACACTGACTGGCCAGGAGTTCTCTCGTTTCTTGATCAGGATACGGAAATGTTAGATGGCTCTGGTAATAATCTTCTAGTATTTGCGTTTTTTCGTTGGGCAGAATGGTTTTCTTTTTAAAACAAGATTTTGGTTTTGGTGGGCTGGTGCTTCTAGATTTTTTATCAACAAAAGGCATCTGCACTGCTGGCAGAGTGGTAGAAGTTGATGAGGTAGTAGAAGTTGATGTGGTAGTAGAAGCTGATGTGGTAGTAGAAGCTGATGTGGTTGTAGAAACTGATGCAGTTGTAGAAGTTGATGCGGTTGTAGAAGTTGATGCGGTTGTAGAATTTGATGCGGTTGTAAAAGTTGATGCGGTTGTAGAAGTTGATGCGGTTGTAAAAGTTGATGTGGTAGTAGAAGTTGATGTGGCCGTTGATTGGATGGAAGCTGAAGCGAAAGCGTTCTGGTACGTTTGTTGACTTTGGTGGTTGCTACGTGAAACTTTTGGGTTGATCGATGTTTGGTATGCTTCGTCAGGTAGAGGCCGAGTATTATCTGCAGTGACTTTCTTTGACGTTTCAAAGCCATTTGAGGTTTTGCAATTTTTCGACATCGCATAATCGCTTTGAATGTTTTGATGGAAGAAGTTTGGTTGAATGACAGGTCTCCGAAAAATAGAATCCCGGTTAATATAATCTTGGTAGTTAAAATAACCGCGGTTAAACATTTGCCGGTAGAAATTTCCATGCATAGTGAACTCAAGATTCTTAAATTCATGATCCGTCAAACTCTTATAGAGATTTAATTTGGCTTCATGGACATATTGTTCCATCATGAGTATCCCGAGCGGATGTACAGGAAGAAAATTTGTGTCGAAATTGGAAAAGTTATGCTGCATGAATTTGCCCATTGGTCCATAAATAAGTCTGGCGTTTGTGTTGATGTCAGCTTTCTGGTTGGCAATGTTGTGAATGGGTTTTGAAGGTACTGCCAAAGAATGCATGCTGGTGTGGTTATCGTCGCCGTTAATGATCTCGTTATCGTTGCTGTCGCTGCTACAGTAGCTACTTTTTATGCCGCTATTGTCGCCACTACCTTTGCTTTTGCTAATTATTCGTTGCATGATTTTGAAAATTAAGATATGAAATATTTCAAGGACTAACAAATTGAAGGTAATGATGAAATTTTTCCAATTTAATGTTCAAAGGCAAGATTTTTGAAGATAAATGAGTGGAAGTTAACGTAAAAAATTTTCTGGCTTCATTTATATATACTGACACTCACTTAACCAGAAACTTTGCTAAATAATTTACTAACGATTTTATACAATAATTTTATTTTACGAAAGCCTACTACATAGTATAATTTCAGTCAACTTTAAATTGTCAAACCGTGTCAATATAGTTAAGTTAATTCAAGTCCACTACTTCATTCATACCTTCAATATATTCAATATAGTAGTAATATAAACGGCTATATAGCAAACGTCTTTGACGATTGCCATTTGTAAAGTCACTTTATAAAAATCTTTATCACGTTTCCTAAAGTTAATTGAAAATTAATTAAATATTTGATCGTAAAGTAGTATAATTAATATTAATTAAAATATAAATGAAGTTAAGGAATTGAATTATTGATAATTTAGGCTTCTATTGTCTGTCCGTATTAGTCCAAGCGCGGTTTAATTATTGAATTGATTGAATGTATAAATGAAGTTGTGGAATTAAATTAACACTGGCTTCTATTGTCTATCTGCGTTAGTGAAAGTTCAGCTTAATTATTGAATTTAACTCGACTTTATGATTTTTAATGGTGTTGAAACTTTTTATGACAATCTATAAAAATTTAAAAGATATTAATTAATATTTTTATTTAAATCGATTCTATACAAATATTGTTTTATGGTTGATAGTTACGATAAATAAAGTTTAGAAGAACGTGTGAATAGAGCTGGATTGATGGCAGGTAGCAGGGCAAGCCGCGGGTTCTTCACAAAAGGGGGCCTCTCCAAAAAGGAGAGTGCTACGTTTCAACTAGTTTTCCAGCCAGCGCGTAAAAAGTTGATTCTATAATGTGAATACACATTTTTTTTGTCTACCTTCAGTCTAAACGAGATCAGTTTTTATTTTCGAAATTATGGAAAGATGTTATTGAAAATTGCTGCTAGAAGATTCTTGCCTATGGAAAGTTCGATCACGCCATAACTTCGGCAGTTGAGTTTTAATAATTGAACAGAACAACAAGCATAGTAAAATTCGGGGTTTATATTTTAACAAGCTAACAAGACAATCTAAAATGAAGACTTAAACAGTGAACAATTAACCATGCCTACAAATATTTAATAATTTTTAAATTTTGATTATAAAATAATTAACACCATTCTTTTTGTCATTTTCAGTTTCATTCAAATTTCACCATTTTTCAATTTTTTCATTAATTTCCAAAATTTTATTTAATTTAACGAGATTATATTGCCATATCGAATTCGTAGAGAACGCACAGATGAGGAGTACATGGTTGGTGTTCAAAGTCAATGTATGCCAATAAACTGTAGAAAAGTCTGTACCATCATCCTCTGTGTCACCAATTTTTGGTGCAAACTTCTGGAAACTTCTGTTGATTTGAAGAAACAAAAATTTTCAGAAAAAATGTTTTACAGTTTTACTACTTGTTTTTTGACATGTCCCTTACATTTGCTTTTTCTGGCCCTTTTCTCTGGAACTTTCTTTCTTCTTCTTTGACTACTTCTCCATCACTTACGAAGTTCAGAGCGGATCTCAAGACCCATCTGTTTGCCAAATTCATTGGGGAACGCTATTGAACATCGCGAAAATAGCGCTTTATAAACTAATTGATTGATTGATAGACACTGTGAAAAAATTTCTACAATGATGATTGAAAGAGAGGATGAGATGCTGTTACATGCAGATTTTCCATCGTAGCAATTCAAAATTTCATACTGCATTTTGTAACATTTATGGTTCTCTCCCGAATTCCCATCCCGAAAATTTCTATTCCCTATTATTTTAAATTCATTCACGCGATTTCGCTGCCATTCTTTCAAGATTCCCATTGAGTTATATATAGTTATATAAAGTTTTATAGAGTTATATAGGGTTATATAGGGTTCTCCATGGGACTCTCGCGATTCTCGTTCCCAAGCTCACCTCTAAATAATAAAATAAATTAATTTCACGCGTATATTAAAATAAAACATTCAATAAGTGAAAAAAGTTTAAATTGAATTATTAACAGAGATTACAGTATGCGATTTATATTATTTACATGTAATTGCATTTAAACCAACAAAAAAACTTTTCACAATTTACATTATATTATAAACAAGAATTGTGTAATTAAGAAATAAATGAATAAGCCAAATGGAAAAAAATAACAACGTAACCTGCTATCAATATTTAAAAATTTACAAAATAAAAAATGATCGTGAAGAAATTATAATCTCAATTACATACTTGATTAATCTTCCAAAAAAGCGAAACACACTAGCTCCAACGCCGGTTTTAATCTTTTAAGATCTAAATAATTTGCTGATAAAACAACCATGGTGACATTTATGACTGAAAAAAAATCAAACAACCAATTTTAAATACAGTCAATTTCATTGTTCAAAAGACGCGAAATGTTGCATATTTTAAACCTAGAAACGAATTTTTATTTACTGTTATAACCGATATTTCATCCAGGAAATGGCTACGGTAGGTTTTAAACAGAAAATCATATAAAAAACTTTGTTTGTGATTTTATTGTCAGTTCTTTTGAAAAAGAAAGATATTTTGCTTTGTGATATTAAAAATAAGAGTTAAGTGTGTCAAGTTTCAGAAAATAAAAATGAAAAATTAGATGGGACATGATCTGTCGGAGTTTGTGAGGTTTTCACTAAAATTGAGCTATACTATTCAAACACGCTACAAAGTGGTTTAACTGTTGTGAGTTTATTAATGGAAATAGATTTCTTGTGAAACAAGGACAAAAATACGCGGACATTAACAGAAATTGTCGTTGCAAGGAAAAGAAAGTGTATCTCATTCCTGTAATCTCTGTTAATTTAGTATTATGAATAAAATAAAATAATTATAATCGTCTTATTAATTAATTGATGATAAGATGAAAGTGATCCAAAGTGATCTAACTAGTTTCTATATGATAGTAATTAGTGTGTGTTTTATTTCAATTTTTGAAAACAAAAAAATGCTTCGGATATTGCAACTAAAAAACGATATCATCTTTCACGCTCGTAACACAGAACTAATTTTAAAAATACCAGAACTAACAATAAAAATTGCGTAACCCGTCAAAATCTTGCCACAAAATGTCACAAATTTTCTGACCGAGACCGTTGGTGACAGATGTTATTGACAGTCAACTGACAACCTGAAACTATCAATTTTTCGATCCGTCTATAACACTCAATTTTCATTTTCCTATTGAGTGTTTGTTTATCTTTGAAAACAATTAAACATTTCTAAAAATTCATCAATTGTTATTTGTTGAGCAGTCTTGTTAATTGTTGGTTGTTGTGTTCTTCCATGTTCACCAAGAAAAATATTGTAACACTGTTTGCAACGGACAAATTTGAGTCCACGTCCCGACTAAGTGAATAAACTTCACCGTGCAAATATTAAGTGAATCGAGAGAAAGATTTAGCTGATGATCAGATGAAAGTGAATCTCTTTGATGATTAGTTGTAAAATGATTTTATTGCTTCAATATTCCTTTTACAACTTTCATGAAGTTTTATGATTTTTAACGCAAAGAATAAATTTGGTTTTATGAATGAAATGAAATAAGTATAATCGCCTTATTAATTAATTGATAGTTAAATGAAAGTTATCCAAAGTGATCTAATCAGTTTCTATGTCATAGTAATTAGATTGATCATTGAAAGTTATAATTAAAGTTATTGTTAGTTATAATTGAAGTTATAATTAAAGTTATTGTTAGTTATAATTAAAGTTTAGTTGATTGTTAATAATAAAAATATTATCGGTTGGTTATTGAGAGGTGACACGTTCGAGAAAAGTTTATTCATTTTACAACTTTGACACTTAAGCTAAGTTTTCCTTTGTTGTTGGGTCTCTGTTTACAATTCTCTGTTGACCAATAAAAATATTGGTC